TATACGTGGTTCGGTCAAATGACTTTGACCTACATCCACGGAAGAAAGAGCAAATTACTACTATAAAAGAGGGACACTTACAAATGCCTTAGGAAATGTTCCTAGGCCATAAAACACCTTCAGCTTCCTAAACAAGAAGACTTCAAACCATAAGCAGGTTTTCTTGTGATGCTTGCTGTACTTCTTGTGGTGTCTGTGGTACTTCTTGTGGTGTGTCTAACATCAAAGCTCAGGCCCTTATTTATAGTTCCAAGACGAGACAACAAGTCTGATTTTCCCGATGTGGGACTATGGGACTTGCCAAACTAACAATAAGCCGAGAAGCTGATGACACGTCAAGTTGCGTTAAATAATGATCAATTATTTAACGATGTGGACTCGACCCCAACATGAATGCTAACTCATTAATCTATTTTATGAGTACCGTAACATTAAATAATGATCAATTATTTTATACATAAATTAATATTTCACATTATCTTGGTGGTTAATCATAAAAAACAATAATTAGGTACGTCATAAGAAGACTAGTCTACATGCCCATATCTCGAATCCTCTCACATCACTAATTTAACTATCGGAGAGCTTTTCATTAGGTACATCCTTGATAAGGTCTTCAAAGTCCATCGATCAAATTCAGATTTACGATAGGCTATGATGCTGGATGTGGATTGGATTTAAACCCTTGATATCCCGACAATATAAGGTAAAGAAAATTGAAACTTTATATTGAGCCTTCCGAGTCTCGTTATATAAAATCTAGAGAATGATATTTTACACTTGGGATGGCCATCTCCTCCCTTTCTTCCTTCTTTTCCCTCTTTAAATCTCCAAAAAAAAAAAAACTTCTTTTTAATTCCAGAAATCCAAGTTGATAGCGATGCCTTAAAGATAAAGATCAAGTAGCAGACTAGAAAGCAACCAGGAATCTTCCTCGGCTGCTGTAGATTTAGGCGCCCAATTGCACACAGAGTCAAGTCTTCGTAGATTATAATATAAGAAGGTGACAGAATTAGTCAAGTCTCGCCTACCCCAAATAATTAAAACAAAAAAAGAAAAGTACCATCTCAATTATTTTGCTCGAGTTGGCCACGACAAACATATCTACTACATCCATTAATACATCGACACACACGGTTGGAAGACTTATAATTGGAATTTCTCTTACCAACGAACCTATAAAATAAAACCAAATATTTCGTCTTCATCACTTATATTTGTAGTGACTAAGTGATACGTTTTGTTTTAATCTTCACTCATCCAATTGCTATACGTACGTATAAATGAAATCCATCCTCAGCTATTCTCCTCCGAACACTAATCCGCACTCCAAAACAGAAACAAAGCCAAAAACTGCCGACGGTTGTTCCAATGACCGCCCCGTTTACTTGGAAAAGTCAACGTCTTCCATGCGAAGAACATTAGGCTATGATCAACTGCTGCGTTGCTCACCGTTCCTTGTGGGAGATCACACCCACCGGAGGAGGTCGTTCATCTAATACGGCGTCTCAGCTCGTCGACGATCATCATGGTACAAGCTAAACTCATCTTAGGCCTTTTTATTTCATGTTATCTTTGTCACATGCATGGATGATCGATCTCTATGAATTTAATTCCGGAGAAAATTCACGAAAAAAAAGAGAACTCAGACACAGCTCATAATTCCCAAGATCTCTCTCTCTCTCCATCGATTTTGATGTTCTAATTATCTTGAGGCCTTATCTATTCAGTTGGCCCTTATGAGCTTGTACTCAGTTCTGCTTTGAGAGATGAGAACAAAAGACTCCGATCGCTTCTGTTCTCTGAGCATCGAAGCTTAGGAAAAGAGGGCAGCTTATGGATTTCGCTGATCTGAACTCTGTGCCTTGATTTGCTTGCTTTTAATTCTGCATCTGTCTGCAACCTTGGGATGATGATATCTCGACACATGTACTCGTGAGCAGGTGCCAGAAGGTGGACGAGGAGAAGATGCGGAATCCGGCTTTGTTGCCTACTTCAAACGTACCCTCTGGTTCTCCTTTTGCACCTTCGCCGTTTCTTCGGGATCATTGCTACAGATCTTACCCGGGGATAAGGATTTGGCAGCACATGCAAATACAGCCATCCTCAAGATCTGTATCCTCTTCAACATGTTCACCATAATTTCCTCCATCATCTTGATGTTCTTCTCTTTCATCATCAGCTACACTCAACGCCGCATGATCACACGCTTCCAGCTTCGTGTTGGCACAAGTATATTCATCTCCTCCGTCGGCCTGCTGGTGCTGACAAACTACCTGTTCATGCTCATCCTCAAAAAGCCCTACATGCTGGCCATGGTTCCTCTTCTCCTTCTTCTGGGGATCACCCTCGTCGTGCTCCTTCGCGGAGGAACTCTACGACATGAAGTCCATGGCGACGACCACGCACTTTCCCAAGCACAGGAATCGAAGCTACTGAACTTGTCATCTTATGTCACCGCCATCACTTCTGGGGGCATCATAAGCACGGTCATCGCTTACATGAAGAACTTCACCTCGTCAGCTTATCACTTCCGCCTCGAATCATCCGTGGTTTTGCTCTTCATCAACAACATAATAGGCTTCTTCGCCATGCTGCTTTTGCTATTCACTTTGATGCTTAGTTACTCCGCCGACCGCCGTGAAGGCCTGATCGCAATTGCAAGCTTCTCCACCTACGCTTCATTTGTCCTGTCAACGCTGTTGACGCTGATGGTCGCGTCCGAGTCGCTTGCTTTCCCCCACGTCTTGTCCACTATGCTCTTTGCCGTCGGTGGAGTTCTGTACTACCATCTACGGAGGCGAGAAACAGGCACGCAAGAAGATGAGGTGGTTCAGCTGGAGGATATATGGAAGAACATAGGGACCTTTGCCTTTTTGCTGTTGATGGTGGTCCGCCTACTGCATCTGGGCAGCGAAGCATTCGCCATTAAAAGCTTCATGTTTCTATGTGTTTCGGCTTTCCTATGCATTCAGAGCCAGATGCTAATGGCGGTGCTGAGGCCTGTGGGCAGGGGAAGATTGAACATAAAGATCATCTTTGGTCTCGTTGGCGCGCTGCTGGTGGGCGCCATGTTGAGTGTCATCAGTGTCATCTTCATCTGACATGTTAAGCCTCAGATCAGATCAGTCTGCCTACCTATTCCTGTATGCAACACATAACATATATACGTAACATACATTTATGTCCTAGAAATATGTTGGACACCACCTAGTATATTAAATTAATTTGAGTTATTTTCTTACTCGTTAATTTTTCTTCTCTTGAGATCCAAACTTAAATTTGATTTCTCATTTCTTAGGTATATTTTTCGCATAATATTCGGTAAAGGAGATAAGTTTAGTCACTAACATTCTCCCACTCTTTGACTTGTTTCTTCTAATATACTGCTAAACTTCGTTGATAGTTGTTGATTGATTAAAACTGGAGTCGATGTTGGAATAATAATTGGCCTGCAAAGAGGCGATGAAGATGCTCTCACACTGAGTTCCTATTTCGAGAAGACGATTGGCATGCCATGGGAGTCATTTATGTGAATGTATCTGTCGTTACTTTGGTATATTTTTTTAGCACTTTGGGAAAATATTGAAAAATCATATGAATTTAGATCTTTTCTGAGAAATTTACTTGAAATATCCTTTGATAATAGGTTTTTAATAGATGTTACTCTCATATTTAATTGGAGATTATTATTTAAAATAATAATTTTTTAAAAAACTTTAAATATCCCTAAGTTATCCATTTGTAAATAAATATATATGTCTTCAATTTATAACTTAATTATAATAAAAAAAATTTACTCCTTACCGACAATCTATTTTTCTTTCTTTTTTTCTCCTTTGTGTCGGGATGAGGCAAGTGACAACGATATCCATAGCCATTAGAATTAGTGATGATAGAGGGGGGCGTATCGATGGTAGGGAGCATGGGCTCGGGACGACGAGCAAAAGTGGGTAGGGGCAACGATATAAAAATTAGTGATTTTTATCTCATCACCTCCCATGCGCTTCTTCTGTTTCCCACACTAGGAAACAAAGGAGGTTGCGGTGCCTCCCACACACCACTGTTTCTCACATGATGAAACAAAGGAGGTGTGGTGTGTCGGGGAAGAGAAGAAGAAGAAGATGGAGAAGAGAGGGAAGAAGAGAAGAGAGAAAGAAGGTTGCGGCTAGGAGAGAAGAAGGAGAGGAAGAAGGGAAGGGAAAGAAGAAGGGGCTATAGCTGTGTTAGCTGCGACTAGGAAAGAAGAAGAGGAAGGAAGAAGAGAAGGAGAGGAAGAAGAGAAGGTAAAGAAGGGGCAGTGGCTGTGACAGTTGCGGTTGGGAAAGAAGAAGAGGAAGAAAGAAGAGAAGGAGAGGAAGAAGAGAAGAGAAAGGAGGGGCTGCGGTTGTGGCAACTGTGGCTGGGAAAGAAGAAAAGGAAGGAAGAAGAGAAGGTAAAGAAAAAGAGGCTGCAGCTGTGGCTACAGTTGGGAAAAAAAAAAAGGAGAAGGAGAGAAAGGAAGGAAGAAGTGGAAGGGGCCTGCGACTAAAGCTATGGCTGAGAGAGAAGAAAGAGAGGAAAAAGAGCAGGGGGGGAAGAAGAGGCTGTGGTTGGGAGAAGAAGAAGAGGAAGAAAGAAGAGAAGGGGAGGAAGGAAGGAAGAAGAGGAAGGGGGCTGCGACTGCAGCTATGAGAGAGAGAAGGAGCATAATAAGAGGGGGAGAGAGAGAGAGAGCAGAGTAGGTGACTATGCCCCTCTACATTTTGCATGAGTTGCAACTATACAAAAAGATGGGAGAAGAAAAAAAAAAAAAATAGGGAGAAGAGGACAAGGATGAGTAGAAGAAAGATTTTGGCTTACAATTTCTTTGGATCAAAATATTTGAAAGATAAGTATTCTGATATTTTTCTACAATAATTCTATCTCTACTTTTGCCTTGATTATAAAAAAATTTGAAGAGTTTTTGCATATGATATATCTCTTGTTTAGATGTAATGATTTGAATCTGAAAATTTTTTCAGATTTTAACCTTTTTATTTTGTTTTAGCCATAATTTTTTACACCAATGATTTGGGTAAAAATAAATTCATTCAAAAATAGACTCATAGCTTTTTGATATTAAGATTAACAAATTTAGATTTTAATTATTCACTTAGACTTCACCCTATCGACTCTACAAAACAAGGGAGTGAAATTTCTGATCTTTTGATATTTACCTATTTATAACTCTTTGTTGAAAATTTTGATTTATACAAAATTACTCTATTAGAAACTATACTCATAGATCTTTCTTTTGATACCTAGATTGAAAGATTTGAAGTTTAAATTCCTATTTAGACTTCTGTTTCAATTAACAATACGGATCCTACAAACTAGATATTTTATTCTATGACCTTTGGTTACTAAATTATTTGTAACTCTTTGATGAAAAGTTTCATTTATATTAAACATATTTTATCTAAATGTAGATTAAAATATATTTCCAATAATATATTTCTTGAGTAAATTGGAGTATAATTGATGATTCGAATTATTTGTATAATGCTCCTCACATAATATGCCAGAACAAAACTTTTGTCAAATGTACATATTCTAATTTCATCTCGTTGGATATTGAATTCATCTAGTATTCTTTCTTTAATTGAGTTATATATGATTGCTTAGAATGCTGGTATACTCTTACTCTTAATTCCTTTCAAATTTGAATATATTTATGAAAGATTATATTTGTATCGTATTGACTCATAAAGGTACATGTACGTTTTATTGCTTCACATATACTTCCAAAATATACTAATTTTATTATTTACAATATCCTTTTATACTCTGGTGTTTATAAAATTATTTAAACCTTTATTAGAAATGATAAAAAAATTATTTAGACCTTTGCTAGAAATGGTAAAGGATGCATGCTTAGAGCCCACGATGCTCTGCCAACCCCCTTTGGCTTCATCCAAACGTGGATGGATGATGCTCCCAAACGTGAGAGATTATTTTTGAGATACCACTTCGCATTCTATATATTTAATATGATATCTAGAGCTTTGGTTATGTGTTTCTATATACGTTTTAGATAATAATGAAATGAATGCAACGTCAAATATAACATTTGAGCTTCTATTTTGTAGTTGTTCTTTTGATATACTCCGAAATATTTTATATATCATTGATATATTCCAAAATACTTCTTATGCCTTTAAAATATTTATACACTATTAATACACTTTGAAATATTCTATATATCATTGATATGCTTTGAAATGCTCCTTATATCATTGATATGCTCTAATTACTCTTTACTCTATTCATTACGAACCAAATATATTTCAATTGAAATGACATTTGTGATTCTGTATCTAATAAGATGATATCTATAAACTCTTGTATTCCTATCTTGCATTTTGATACCAGGTTTATATGAAACTATTCTCTCTTGCTATTGATATGTTTGTTACTTGCTGAGCTTTGTAGCTTACTCCGTTGTTATATAAAATTTTCAGGTTAGCTTGTTACTCATTAAAATGTTAGAATTAGGCTGAGGTAATGGAAAGCTATTCAGATTTTAGGCAAGTCTTATCGATTGATATATTATGATTGTTGTATAAGCATATTTTACATGTAATGAAATGTTATCGATAGATTTAAATTAATATATCATGTAAAAGTTTTAAAAGTCTTTTGACGTTTGAAAGTTTAGATTGTTAAGTTTAGTTTATGATGATATGAACTTATAGTAAATGTTTAGAATTCTGATTTTATAAATTCTTATGCTTATAGATTTATAAGTGTTGTTAATATTTTGTTAAGTTGGCTTAGTTTTTTATAAATATAAATTATCAAGTGATGTGGTGTATGATTATAAATTGTACAGGTTTTATGGCTGTGAATGATACTTGAATATTTTTTAGTGTCTTCAAATATTAGTTTGGATCCTGGATTGAATTATTGATGAAATTTTAATATTATTTATTTAAGACAAGGTCACACTTCTTGAATGTAATATTTTGGGTGGTGTGATAGAGGGGTAGGCTAAGAGTGATTAGTAACAATGACAGGATAGTCGAGGTACGTAAGCAACGGTCGTAGGAAAGGAAAAAAAAGAGAAGATAAAAACAGAATTATAGAGACTATAAATAGTAAAATACTATTTTATTAGTGTTTAAAATATTATGAATAATAAAAAAGTTGGCTCTAAAAGAGTAAGCTCCTATTTGGAATTTTCTTCTTATGCCTTGATCAAAATACTCTCAATAAACTAATAACAAAGATGATGATTATCCTCTAACTAAGTTTGACTTGATTTTTTAGGATTGAATTGATTTTTTTGAGATAAATCAAACTAGGTTGATTCAACTAAATCCTAACTATTTAATTTAATTTAATTAAGCCCTAGATTACCTCTTCATTTTTTCAAATTATCTCTCACCTCCGCCTTCACTACGCTCCCACTCTGTTACCTCCTTTCCCTCCCCCATTAGTTCCTTCTCTTCACCCTCACCCTTGGCTTCCTCCTCCGCCTTTCTGTATTCTCGCCATACTCCACCTCCTCCTCCCACTCCACTTTCATCATCGCCTTTTACCCCTCCCTTTTAGCTTCCTTTTTTTTTTCCCTTCGATTTCTCCTCCACTGCCCTCTCCCTCCCCTCCTCCGCCTTCTTCTATTCACAATTTACCTAGAAAAATAGCACACATGAATTATATTTATTCACAGAATATATTAAAAATATATAGTATTTTTATATAAAATTATCCTAAATGACCTAAAAAATTATTATGCTCGAGTTACACTCAATCACATAATATATTAAAATATATTAGTTTTAATATAAATTATCCTAAATTCTTCATAAAACTAAAAAACTCAAGTTATCCTAAAAAATATATTAATTTTTTTATATAAAATTATCTTAAATTCATCATAAAACTATTTATAATTTTTATTTTATATTTCCTATTTCTTATATAGACTTAGTTGCACTCTAAATTAAAATAAGTTAAAATCAATTACCTAACCTATTTTAAAATTAATAATTTTTATTTTAAGATATTTTTAGGATAATTAATATCAATACTTTAAGAATTTTACTAGAATATGATTCTAACAAAAATTATACTAATTTTTATTTTATGATAAATTTAGAATAAATTTACATAAAAATTATTATGTTTTTATTATGTGCCGAGTGTAATTCGATTGTAACATGACTATAGCTTGAATAAAGAGATATGAACCGAATCAATTCATGGTCGATTGGGCTTCTAGAGACTGTCCGATTCAAAGATATAATTAAATATCTTTAATAAAAATTAAAACTTATTACTAGGAGTCTTTTATTTATTTAATAAATTACCCACCTTCCTTATCTTCTCTGGTCTATTCAACAATTAATTCTCTGATGTATGTATGTAGATCTTTTTATGCACATGCATTTAAAATAAATTTATATAAAAATTAATATATTTTTATTAGGTATCATGAATAAATAATATAATTGGATTGTGACCTAAGTGTGTAAAGAAATCCGATTCATGAATATTATTAGAATTAAAAAAATACTTTTGGCATCATCTGATTACAAACTTATTGCTAGCAGTTTTCTTTTAAATAAATTACCCACCTTATCCTTATCCAGTCAGCATTAATTGCCCTGTGTCATCTTTAAAGAGGTATGTATGCATGCAGACCTTTTTGGGCAAATGCGTTGACGCGTTCTCCTCTCGTCTCATGATTGGCCGTCCAACTCTTGTCGTGATGCCATGTGTTCGCACCGGACAGCTCCTTCTCCACCCATTCCAACGCCCGACAACGCGGCACAGCCGAATAAATAAATAAATAAACAAATAAATAAAAACAACGCGGCATTAGCTCAACCAGAAACCGCGTTTCCTCGCCGCCTGTCGCGTCATCAGTCGCAACGCTCAAGCGGAGTTTGGCGGCTTCTAATTTGGCATCTTCGAAGGACACGTCTCTTTTGACCTCTCTGATCACAACGCGTCGATCCAAGAAAACCCCTTGCCCGAAGCAATCCCGTCACTATAAGTACTGCTTCTCAGGGTGTTTTCCTCTCACCTCCACATCGATCGTCTTCTGCCTCCTTTGGTGCTCTCGTCCGTTTGGTTTGGTTTCAAGATGAGTTACTACGCTCAGCAGCAGGCTCCTTCTCAAGGTAATGTAATGTTCTTTATCTTCTCCATATAGGTTTCTCCCCTTTAGCATTTTACGTTCTTCATGATCGACTTCGCCTTGGTTCAGATTCAGCTTATCCTCCACCCGGGCAGGCCTACCCACCAGCTTACGTCGCGCCTCCTCCTGCAGGCTATCCCACCGGGGATGGTGGTGCTGTGAATTCACAACAAGTTCCCGTGGAGACGAAGAGTCGCGGTGATGGCTTTTGGAAGGGATGGTGAGCCTGCAGCCTTTTTCCTTGTGATTTTAGCAGCTTCTTTCGATCAGCTGGTTCTTATATGGTTTGTTTGTGCTGCTCTGCTTCTTTGTGTCTTGCAGCTGTGCTGCCTTGTGTTGCTGCTGCGTTCTGGACATGTGCTTCTGAAGCTGGAAAGGGAGATGGAGAGACGTCTTATCACCATCGCCTTGTCGTTCTTCTGTGTTCTGTTCTTTTAGCTTCTACATAAAATGTTGGCTCTCGTGTGTTCACGAGACAGTATTCATGTTGATTGTGTGCTAAGATATTAGCACGAGACATATTGATTTATTCGTCTATGAGATTAGTCATATTCTGTGATATCATTGCAATTAAATTCTGTTCCTTTCCTTCTCACTTGATTCATCTTATCTTGGGAAATCCATTACCAAATAAAATAACCTTACGCAAGCCTTTCCTGTATGGGAGTAACATGTGGTTGGCTTTTGGTGTGCAAAGTCTGTTCATGAACAAAGAACACCATTGAGCTAGAAGAAATTACAACAAAACACCTCATGGTATATGCACCATCAATTGACATAGTTGATAAACTGTTTTGTAATCTTCAAACTACCAAAGTCAATTGGGATAATTTCACATTTCAAAAGTACATTTGTGTTTGACATTTTCATGATGTGGGGATAAAACTTGAATAACCCCAAAGTACTTTCTCAAATTTAAATACCCCAGAATGAGCTTAAGCTGGGCAAATTGACTGAAATCTTTCCAATAAATGGTCTTTCTTCTACATCTGTTTGTAAAAAGTCCTAGCAATCAAAATTTGACTGTCCGACCTTTCAACTATGAGTAGTTCCAGATCATAACTTCTAAAAAGAGAAGATTCTCCAAGTGGAGGCTATTCTTCGGTTCAAAGAAGACTGAGGCTTCCCTTTCAAAGCCTTCAAAAATTCTCTTCAGAAAATGCAAAACTACCCGAGCCTTTTTTGTCATATCCATGTCACATGGATATCTTGCATGAAGCTGTAACTAGAGAAGTAGCTCCGACATGATGAATAGCTGCTTCACTTTGGTAGAAACTAATCTTCATTTTGACCAGAACGCTGCCTCTTCGGTTCTCGGTCCCCCAGTTGCAGTGAAACACAAGGATCTTCGTCAGATAGGTTAGTTGGTGCAGATAGATTCTTCCTTTCCAGGTTGTCTTCTCTGCGATGCATTGGCAACATGCTAATTAGATTCGGAATGAACTGATGCTCTTCCACACTGTTTGCAACCTCAGCTGTCTCCACATGAAACGCCATATCTGTGAAAGGTACATTCTCTCCTGAACCAGAACCACCTTCAGGAGGGAACTGTTGAAGGTTAATGCCTAGAGGTTCAAATATCTCATTAGGTGGAAGGCTCCCTACTATTGGAGATGATTCACCAACTGCAGAATTGATAGTAGCTGTTAAGGCAAATCTTTGCTCCTGTAGTGCATCTTTAACCACAATGAAAGACGAAAGATAAATGAGAGAAAGATAGTGGAAACATTATTGCACTGCAATATGAAATCTTCTACAGCCTCTAAAAAAAGTGAGATAGCAAACCTTTTAGTCCTTCACTTGTTGTTATAAGATCAAGTTCCAAGAGATCGAGAAGGCGACCCAGATCAACTCCACTGGTCCAATTTTCTGGTTCATGGACATTTTTAAGCTTCAGCCTTCCTCTATTAGCAATCCCACCCCAGATGATACCTATAGGTTTAGGTTTCTCACTATCTTGTCCTGTTAGAATAATCAGGCTCCCACTATCACCTTCCAGATCAAAGGTTTGTTGGTCCTCACCCACAACAAGAAAATCTGTCAAGAAGCATATTCCTTTCTCATCATTGTACTCTAGTGCATAAGCCATTACAGTTCCAGTTGTCAAACCAGAGCTCCTTCCGACCTTCACCACTTGTCTCCCGATAAGGCTGTTGATTGGTGATTGCATGTCTATAACCTTAACATCTCCAATCTCACCCAGTCCTTTCACTGCAGTGGTAATGCAGGACATATCAAAGTCATTGGCAAAGGGTATAAATGCACCATCAGCTCGCACAAAAGTTTCTGCAGGTGCATCATAAGAGGTACTTTTGGGAATCAGAACATCGCAACAGGTATAAGAAACAATGAACACATTTAAATCCTGAAAGAAGGAAAATAAAGTAAATAACCAAAAATGTAACTCCCAATTAATCCTACGTCAGTACATGAGTTATGTGCTTTTAGAAATTTTTATCACACAATTATGCCTATGTCAGTAGGATTAGATATAAATGAGGAAGAATAGGAAGCATCTCTCAGTAATAGGTAGCTTTTCAGAACTAAGCAACATGGCTCTGGTACCCATATGATGACATGCATGCTACCTCAATATAACAGCAGCACGGTCTTGAACTTTATTACCTGGGTTTGTTCCTGCATATATTCCATACCATACATCATCAGTGATGAATGATGTTGCCCTCTCAACAGCCCCCAGGTACACACCAGGTCCAAGATTGGGTGGCAATGGATGAAACATCTTCTGGTTAGGATAATCCAGATCAACTGCAACATGACGGTTTGTCAGGAAACCAACCTGTTTGTTGCCTGTTCGACTTTTCACAATGGCACTTAAAGTCCCGTATGTCCCTTGGCTCGCGACCTGTAGTAAGAGCAAAGAATTTCAAGAAAAAAAGAAAAAAAAAAGGCTCATGTTACACCAATAGAAAGCACAAGCAAATCTCCACATGCATAGAATAATTCATCTGTGTTGGCACAAGGAGTTTTGTGAAAACTCAAATCTTGGAGAGAAAGGTTTTGGCACAAGGAGGAAAAGATACCACAGATCTAATGATTGATCATACCATTTCTCAAAACACTCTGTTCAGTTTGTTAGAATTGATGGAAAGATTGTAGACTTGATTTGCATTCACATCAAGGGGAATCTGATGGTGTCCAGGAGAGGAAGATAATCCTTCTTGATATGATGTCATGAGGATTTCTTTCTGACAATTCTGAGTAGCTGTATCCAAAACATGGTACAAGATTGAATTCTGAAAATGTAGGGATGTAGGGAGGATACCAGAGGATATCTCGCAAATAAATTGGAATGTTGATGCTGACATGGGGCAGAAAACTGCAGCTATGGAGAAATCCTGGGTGGATGTAATGTTTGGAAACAGAAGAAAAAGTAATAGGGTTGCAATAACATCAATTCCAGTAATTAAAGTTGAACAAAAAGGTATCTAGTTGTAAAGCAAGGTACAATCTAGATTTGGGTATATAATGGGGCTAACCCTTCATTTCAAGGGTTATGTTTGAACAAGATGGCAGCAACATAGTGATATACAACTATACTTGATTCATTCTAGAATTTGTCTGTTTTGCTCCAAGTATGATTGGGTTATGCAGCACATTCTTGAATGGGGTCATGGTCACTTGATTAAATGACCCTGATTATCAAGGCCATGATGGCTGGATGCTGTTCTAGAGAAAGAGGATAACAGCAAATTGACACTTTGGATTTGGCAATCTAAATTGCTGCTCCATCTTCGACTGCATGATCTTCAGCAATGTAGCTAGTTAAATCGGTGTCCCCTCAATCAATCACAGTTTCACTGTATCTCAGCGAAGGTTATTTCCTCATTGCAAGACTTCTATAAGTGCATCCTTTCTATGATTTGCATCGTAAATCCAACCCCAAAGTTATACAATGCATATGAAACTATGGTAAGCATCTGCTTTAATGCTTGTAACTCTCTACGGAAGCAAAAAACCTTCTGTGAGTGCATCTCCTCTAACATTTGCATGGTTAATTCAACATCGATAAGTTATTATATCATGAATATGGAAAATTGGTAAGCATCTGTTTTAATGCTCAAAACTCTCTAGGAATGCAATTAACTAACAACTAGCTAACCGTCATTCTGGTACATAAAAAGACAAAAAAATTCTTATTTCTGTTAGAAGTACCTGAGAGCCTGAACCTATGCATGGATCACTTCCTCGTAACCCATCCGCAAGCTCACTGTACAATTGTTCCTTTGGAGTCGGTGCTGGTGCACCATAATAAGAGAATTCCACCACATCCACATCACACCATACGCCCCCTGGTCCCTGCTCATTTTAAAACAAGGATACCTCCGAAACCATTAAGGCGCTAAGCAAATGTGTCATAGTAACCTCAAAGATGACCATAGTATAGTCTGGAAGAATAATTAAATAATTGCATAATACTAATAGAGAAACATGAGGGTAATGTTCATAAGCTAAATTCTCATGGCTTGGTTTGAT